GAGAACTCCCAGAATGACCACCAACTGGGAACTCTTTGGTACTATTGCGGCAACATGGGAAGATGCCATTGTTGACAACATTGACGAGGAATACGATCGACTGGTTCAGCACCTCCATGAATGTGCGAGGAACGCCAAGAGAGAGATAGCCACAAAAAGTCGCCTATCTTCGAAAACTCTTGAGCTAATTCGCCAGCGTGGCTTGGCGCATACCTCAGGCAACCGCAAGCTAATGTCCGAGCTTGCAAAGCAGTGCAGAGATGCGATCAAGGAAGACCTCAAAGAGAGAAGAGCAGAAGTACTGGTAGATGCGGCAGAAGCCGGGAAAAGTATTCGTAATGCCCGCCTGTCCTTCACCAACTATAAGACCAAGATGACTGCCCTCCGACGTCCTGATGGATCCATCACATCCTCCAGAACGGCAATGGAGAAGATTATCCATGACTTCTACTCAAATCTCTTCGATAGCCATGTCCACTTGCCAACATACCAAATTCCACAGGATGGGTATGTTGTTCCCAACGTTCTCCCCTCCGAAATCCGACACGCCATTTCGTCGGTAAAGAAACAAACAGCACCCGGCCCAGACAAGGTCAGACCTGAACACCTGAAGAACCTGCCGTCAGTATTCATCAATACACTGGCTCGGCTCTTCACTCGCTACCTGTCTGAATGCAAGGTTCCGTCCCAATGGAAAACCAGCAGGACCGTACTACTGTTCAAGAAGGGAGACATCCATGACATTGACAACTATCGCCCGATCTGCCTATTGTCTGTCATCTACAAGTTGTTCACTCGAATCATCCTGAATAGGATTGGCAGAACACTAGATGAAGGACAACCATGCGAGCAAGCAGGGTTCCGCAAAGGATTCAGCACCATCGACAATATCCACACAATAACCAAGCTCATTGAGGTTTCTCGGGAGTTCAAGATGCCGCTCTGCTTAACGTTCATTGAGTTAAAGAAGGCCTTTGATTCTGTTGAGACGGAAGCGGTCATTGAAGCCCTAGCCAATCAGGGCATTCAAGCCCAATACATCAGGATCCTCCGTGAGCTGTATTGCGGATTCACTACCAGGATCTCACCATTCTACAAAGAAGTGATCGTTGATGTCAAGAGAGGGGTGCGGCAGGGTGATACCATTTCACTGAAACTCTTCAGTGCCACCCTCGAGAACATCATGCGACGACTGGAATGGGAAAACATGGGAGTGAAGATAGATGGTCGGCAATTACACCACCTCCGCTTTGCTGATGATATTGTTTTAATAACACCAAACATCAGCCAAGCGGCACAAATGCTGGCCGACTTTGACCGTGAGTGTGGAAAGGTAGGACTACAGCTGAATCTTACGAAGACAATGTTTATGAGAAACAGCCTCGTTCCTGATGCCCCATTCACTCTCAATGGAACGACCATCTCCGAATGCAACAGCTATGTGTACCTAGGTCAAGAAGTCAACATGACAAATGACCTGGCACCCGAGCTGCGCAGGAGGAAGAGAGCGGCTTGGAACGCCTTCAAGAACGTCGAAGAAATAGCTAAGAGGATGAAGAACCTCCGGCTCCAGGCACATCTCTTTGATTCCACTGTTCTTCCTGCATTAACATATGCCTCAGAGACCTGGGCCCTACGCAAACAAGTTGAGAACGCCATTCAGGTCTCCCAAAGAAGAATAGAAAGAGCTATGCTTGGAATATCACGTTTCACTCAAATGAGAGAAAGAATCCGGAGTTCTGACATCCGTCGACGATCAAGGTTCAGGGACGCTGTCTCATTTGCCAAGGTGTCGAAAATCAGATGGGCTGGTCACGTAATGAGATTTAAAGACGACCGTTGGACTAGAGCTGTTACTGATTGGATTCCACGGGATGTCAAGAGACCGCGTGGCCGCCCACCTACCAGATGGTCAGACTTCTTCCTGAAGATCATGAACGATCGGTTTGAGGCCCTTCATGTTCCCGGAGCGAACAGATGCCATTGGGCTACACTAGCACGCGACAGGGACAAATGGAGACGTTACTGGCGCCCGCTCGAGCAAATCGACGACTAACGGGAAGTTAAGTGATTAAGTGAAGTGAAGTTTGTGCTCTCCATTGATATAAATTATGCTTCAGTAAAAGGGTATAAAAATGAAGTATTGGTCAATATTAGGAGAAAGGGAGATTTAATGAGGAAAAATATTTATTTCCTTCCATTTTAATGGAGTTTTTCCTTCTGAGAGCTTTCTGGTGGAGAAGGTCAAAGCAAAGAGAATGGAGTGCAGAGAGCTTGGACCCTTTATCCTTTCATTTTGTCCATGAAGATGTTGGATTCTAGAGGAATGATAAGGGCATGCTGACCTTTAACATCCTGGACTGTTTCTCATTACCCTTGTAAGTTTTAGCTCTTTCAAGCTAAACAGCCGAATGTCAGTTGGCAAAGACAGTGCTCAGAAGCTGCCATTGTCACTCAAGAAACACTGTCCTCCGTGTAAAGTGTGCTTCTGAATGCTTCCTCTGGAGAGCAAGCAATGTGTTATCAGCTTCCCCATGCCCAGGGAAGACTAGACTCCCGGATGGATCTCTTTTATTTGAAACCAATCTCCAGGGAGAACTACTTGAGCATTTGAAGAAGTCTGATTCATTGGTGTTTCTACTCTAAACTTTCAGCAAACTAACTACTTAAAGCTGGGGCATGCTTGATTTTGAAGTTGAGAACAAAGAATTTTTTTCTGACTGATAGAACTAATCTTGAGAGAAAGAAATAGCATCTTTAAACGATGCCCTTTCTTTTTTTTTAGTTTTTTTATTTATTGAATCGCTGTGGGAAAAGTTACAAAGCTTTCAGGTTTAGGTCTCGGTCATGCAAATATCAATCACATTTCCCTTTACCAATACTTATTTTTCACCACAAAGAACCCCAATAAACCCCCACCCAATGTCTGTGGGGCAGATGAATTCTAGTTAACACTCTGTCTACTTTGACTAGCTTCATTGTTTTGATAAAAGTTGCACCATTATTATTTAGATTTTACCCACCCCCCAAATCAGCCATGCTGAAAAAGCATTGTGAAATGATTTGCTTTCTACAGCTGGGTTCAAGAATTAAATGATGTCGCACGGCCACAATAGCGGCCGCGCAGTTTTGGATTTCTGCTATTTTATTTATTAACCCCAGACTGGAGTGATAGCACAGCGGTAGGGCGTTTGCCTTGCACGCAGCCAACATGGCCGACCCGAGTTTGATTCCTCCGCCCCTCTCAGAGAGCCCGGCAAGCTACCGAGAGTATCTCACCCGCACGGCAGAGCCTGGCAAGCTCCCTGTGACGTATTCGATATGCCAGACACAGTAACAACAAAGTCTCCAATGGAGACGTTACTGGGCCCGCTCGAGCAAATTGAGGATCAACGGGAGGGCCTTTACCTTTACCTTTTTACTAACCCTGGAAGTATTTCTACTGAGAGTCAGATAATTAAGAGATTGGTTTCTGTGCTTCTGGGGCCGTGGCCGTGCCGGAGAGCCGCTCGTGGGGGGCAACTGGTGACCTCGGTAGGGCATGAAGGACAGGCTGGAACGCCCCCCGTCCCATGAGGTTTCAACGATGCCCTTTCTTGAGGCTGGAGAGAAAGTATAGCTGGCAGAGCAATTGCTTTCTACATGGTCAAATCAGTTTTTTTTTTTAATTTTTTTTTATTAGTGAGACACCATGAGGTACAGTTGTAGACTTACAAATTTTTGTGCTTGGGTTTCAATTAGACAATAGTCAAATGCCCATCCCTCCACCAGTGCCCATTTTCTACCACCACGGATCGCAGTATCCCTCCTACCCTCCATACCCCCCATCCCACCCTGAGTCTGTGGCAGGGCATACCCTTTTGTTCTCTCTCTCCTTTTGGGTGCTGTGGTTTGCAAAAGAGGCATTGAGTGGCAATCATGTTTGGCCTATAGTCTACCTTCAGAATGCTTAGTTTTGATCTCTGGAACCCCCCTATGATTTCCTGAGCACCACCAGGAATAAACCAAAATATGCCATTTACTGAGGTCAGAGAGATAGTACAGGGGGTAATGTACATGCTTTGCATGCAGCTAACCTTGGATCAATACTCAGCACCACACAGTACCCTACCAATAAAAAAATGTAAATAACAAACCAATAAAAATTTCTTCATTGTTTCTCATTTCTTCATAGACCCATTTGGGTCTAAGTTAACTTTTAAGGAGAGTATAAATGTTCTGAGTAGTATGCCACAGATACCCAATAAAATAGGTCTTCCCTAGAGGAGATGGAAATTGGTCAACCCAAATGACACTGTAAAAGAATGTTGCAAAGGGGCTGGAGCAATAGGACAGCAGGTAGGGCATTTGCCTTGCACACGGCCGACCCAGGTTCAATTCCCAGCATCCCACATGGTCCCCTGAGTACTGCCAGAAGAAATTCCTGAGTGCATGAGCCAGGAATAATCCTTGTGCATCACCGGGTGTGACCCAAAAAGAAAAAGAAAAGAATGTTGAAAAATTAGAGGGAAGCATTTGGGAGAGGTGTGTTGTGCCTGCCATATGATGTGACTAGGCGTCAGGTTCCACCCCCAGAACCAACTGACCCCCCAAGCACCAAGCACAGCAGGGTGTTAACCTGTGACCTCAGCATTAGTAATGCACCAGTGGACCCTAGTGGAGAACCATCTGGTCAGATGACCAACTATCTGGAGGAGAGGCCCCCTGATACCCCAAGCACTGCTTGGGAGATGCCCTCCCCCCCTCAAAAAAAGAAAAAGAGATGAAAAGAAATGTGAATAATCTAAAGGTTTACTTTTTTCTACAAAAGAATAAAATCAATGGAAACTAAGGTAATGAAAGACCTGATCAAATTGTCCTGAGAAAATATAGGATTCATTTTCCAAAACAAATTAAAACCAAATGCAAAGAACCAGAAGAAGGCTTTGTATGGAGTTCGCAGCCACATTTGTTAATATGGCAACGTCCAGTCAATGACAGCTCCCAATCTGGTTTTGCAGGCTCTCCGAGGAAAAGAGAAGATACTTATGGTATTATCGCTTCTACTGCAATCAGGAAAATTGCTCTCTACCTCTGGTCCTTGGCAGCGCCCCTGGATGGGATGAAGGAACTGTTTCCGAAATGCATGGCATTTTGAAAAGGTGGAAATTTTCCCGTCCTTTGGAGGCACTTGGGCTTTTGACTTTCAGGTAAGACTTCCTATAGGAATCAGCACAGTGCTGATTGAGAAACAATTGTTCAAAAGATTTGTTCAAAGTATAGGACTAGGTGATTATTTCGTTGGCTATTTTGTTTGTTCCCAAGTTTTAAAAAGTTCCTATAGGAATCAGCATAGTGCTGATTTAAAACTTCCAAGTTTTAAAAACTTTCTATACGAATCAGTATAGTGCTGATTGAGAAACATTTGTTCAAAGAGATTTGTTCAAAGAATAGGACTAGGTGATTATTTCGTTGACTATTTTGTTTGTTCCCAAGTTTTAAAAACTTTGGATATTAAATGTAAATTAGGATATTCTCTCTCTCCAGTCTCTCTCTCTCTCTCTCTCTCTCTCTCTCTCTCTCGCTTGCTTTCTCTCTTTCTCTTCTCTCTCAGTCTCTCTATCTCTTTATCTGTCTCTCTCTCTCCCCTACCCCTCTCTCCCTTTCTCTTTTTCTCTTACCCACTCCCTCTTTCCCTCCCTCCTCTTTGTTCCCTTTAGGCACTGTGGTTTGCAATTGTTGAAAAGGAGACTGTAGTTTCTTAAATGAAGATTCTATTGTTCTTACCAAATTAACAAAACTTCGAGGAAAAAAAAATATTCCTCATGCCTCTGCAAACAAAAAACTCCTTCAAAGGGGGGACAATATTTTATCTTGAAGTCCACAAGCATTAACAAAACACCCTAAAATGTGCATACAATTATTTAAAAATCCCTTTCCATATATTCTGCAGCTCTTCCTGGAGAATGCAATACATTGGCGTTGGGTAGGGGAGGCAGGGATTAGGTGGAGTCTGGGGCCTTCTGGGCTACGAAAGCACGTGGGAATCAGCGGCAGCTGACTGGAGAAACAGCTCTTCCTTGGCTTCCGTTTGAGATTCAAAGCCAAGACAAGATATTTTAGGCCTGCCTTGATAGCATCAGCTCACTGATGCTGTGAAGATAGTCTGTGATCTCCAAAGCCAGAGAAGATTTGTACAATCCAGTTCTATTTTTGAGTTCTCCCTCAAGGTCCTGAGGGAAGGTGAAATGTGGAAATGAAAGTGATAACACAAACTTCAAACTGATTTACTGGGGCTAGACAGTACAGGGAATTGGTTACAAGTCCTGCATATGGCGGGCCCAGTGCAATCGCTGGTACCCCAAGTGGTCCTCTGAGGACCAGCAAGAGTGATACTTGAGCACAGATACAGGAATAAGCTCTGAGCACAGAGATTTGTGTTCAAGCCCTCTTCCACCAAAAAAATTACCTGATTTACTGGAGTTTATTTAAAAATAAGTGTCCTTACTCAACTACAAGTGTGAGAGAGGGGAAGAAGAATGGGTTTCACTGCATTATTTGCAGTTATTCAGTGATCTTTCAAACAAAATCATAAATTATCTTAAGAACTTATGGTTTTTTTGTGTTTCTCACATTGAAGATTTTGCCCAGTGTAATAATTAAAATTTTTATTAGTTAAGTTTGGGGCGTTTCCCTTTTTCAAAGCTTTCCAGTGACCCTCCTCTGACCTTGACACGTAGAATTTACCACTCTGTCTAGTTCAAAACTGTATTTCCTTATGAATGTATTTTATTTCAGTGTATTTAAATGCCACATGTTGAAATCTATGTTTTTTCTCACAACAGACCAGAACTGTCCAAAAAAGAATAGATCATATAGTATTTCTGTTTCCCAAGGGCTCAATAATAATTGAAAAATAGTAAATTCCATTATTGAATCATTTTCTAAAATTTTATATGATTACTTTGTTACCTTATTCTAACAGCTAAATGCTAATATTTTTAAGGGTATTCTTTATTACCTTACTTGTCATGTCACCTAGTACAATTGGGTGAATTAATAAAATAAGGACATGCTGAAAAAAAAATCAATGGACAATTGATTGGTTTCATCGTGCTCATTCACAATTCATGCTTGTGTTTTGACACAAAGATAGTTTGAAACAAAGGATAGTTTCTCGTTTCCACTAAATTCCTTACCTCTTTATTAATTTAGATTTTAAAAACTGTCAAAATATTCAGATTTGTTGTGTGTGTGTCTGTGAAATTCTAGTTGTCTTTTGTTCAAATAGGTGTTATCTATATTAATATAATTGTTATATTAGTATAAATTGTCATTACTTTATGGTTTTTTTATTAGTGAAACACTATGAGGTACAGTTATAGACTTACAAATTTTTGTGCTTGGGTTTCAGTCATACAATGATCAAGTACCCATCCCTCCACCAGTGCCCATCCTCCACCACCATGGGTCCCAGCATCCCTCCCACCCCCCATCCCCCCCGTCCCACCCTGCCTCTGTGGCAGGGCATTCTTAAGATGACTAACTAAGAGAAAATGATTCACAAGTAAAGGGAGCAACTCACGGAATAAGAGAATACAAATAATGTATCTGATAATCGAACTGCATCCAGAATATGTAAATATTCCTAAACCACAACAATAAACAATCATTAATCCAAATTTTAAATTCTTAAAGATCTGATTAGAAATTTATCCAAAGAAAACTTAGGGATATCCAATATACACATGAAAATATGTAACAGAATCAGGGATATGGTTCAGTGATAGAGCACTTGACTTTCATGTGTGAAGTTCAGGTTAGATTCTGTGTGTCCCCTGAGCACCACCAGGAGTAGCCCTAAGTACAGTTGAGTGTAAAAACAATTAACTCAATCATTAGGGAAATGAGATGCCACTTCACACATCCTAGGCTGATTATAATTCAAAAAGAAAATTAGTGATGTCAGCAAAGATGATTGATGTGAATGTGTAGCAAGTTTGGAAAACTATTTTGTACTACTTTAAATATTAAACAGACAGTGTGAGAGATAGTACAGTGGGTAGGGCACTTGCTTGGCACATGGCAGACCCAGATTCAATATCCAGCACCCCATAAGGTCCCCTGAGCCCAGTAGGAATAATCCCTGAGTGCAAAATCAGGATTAAGCGCTGAGCACAGCGAGGTATGGCCCCAACCCTATCCCCTAAAATTATTAAACATAGAATTACATATAACATTATATTTCCACTCACGTATGATGAAATGTAGCAAAGATGAAATGTAGCACTGTAGCACTGTCCTCCAGTTGTTCATTGATTTGCTCAAGCAGGCTCAGTAATGTCTCCATTGTGAGACTTGTTGTTACTGTGTTTGGCATATTGAACACGTCATGAGGAGCTTGCCAGGCTTTGCTGTGCGGGCGAGGTAGCTTGCCGGGTTCTCCGAGAGGGGTGGAGGAATTGAACTCGGGTTGGCCTTGTCGGCCGCATGCAAGGAAAATGCCCTACTGCTGTGCTATCGCTCCCAAACTCATACATAATTTTACAGAGAGGTTTGTTTATAGTAGTCATAAAATGTAGAAATGACTCATGCCCATCAACTGATAAACTGATAAAATCTGGTCTTTCTGTATAATGCAATGTTTTTGATAACAAAATGTAATAAATTCTATTATGCTATGACATGAATATAGTTTGATAAGTGAAAAAGGCTTACTATCATGAGACTGTATATTAACATGATTCAATTGTTATGAAATATGCAGAACAAGTAATCCTATGGAGATAGAAAGTGGGTGAGTAGTTTCCTCGAACTAGTGGAGGGGTAAGTGGAGAATGATTGCCAATGGGATCTAGTATTTTTAGTGATAATAACTGTATAACTCATTGGAATATTCTAAAAATAATATAAATATTTAAAGTAAATGGCACAATGGTAGGACATTTGCCTTGCGCACAGGCAGGTTCAATTCCTCCGTCCCTCTCGGAGAGCTCCGCAAGCTACTGAGAGTATCTCGCCCACACGGCAAAGCCTGGCAAGCTACCCGTGACGTATTCGATATGCCAAACACAGTAACAACAGTCTCCAATGGAGACGTTACTGGGCCTGCTCGAGCAAATTGATGATCAACGGGAGGGCCTTTACTTTACTTTTAATATAAATATTTATATATGTAAATATTATTCAAATTATACACATATAAAGTATATAATGTGTATATAATAAGCATTGCACTGTAGCACTGTCCTCCCGTTGTTCATTGATTAAATGGAGTGGGCACCAGCAACGTCTCACAACAAATTGTGAGACTTATTTTTGTTGTTTTGGGCATATGGAATACATCACGTGACATATATAATAAGTGTATAATTATTATTCAAATTATGTACTTTATATGTGTAAATAATATATTTGATTTATATATTTAAATTCTAAAGAAAAATATTTTAAGTTTAAATCTGTGAATTTCTGTATCTCATTCAATATGTCATATTGAATATGACACAGGTAGCTTGCCAGGCTTTGCCGTGCAGGCGAGATACTCTCGGTAGCTTGCCGAGGAATCGAACTTGGGTCAGCCGTGTCGCCTCATGCAAGGCAAATGCCCTACCCACTGTGCTATCGCTCCAACTATTTTAAATATCTATATAATATTTTTAAAATTTTATCAGAATAAAATTTATAACACTGTTTAGTTTTCTGCTTATAAAATAAGGGAGTTAGTTGGCCAAACTTCAATATTCTGTGATCCCTGATAACTAAGCATAATTCTGCTTATAATAAGCTTCTTTATCTAAACAGATGGTGAAAAGTTGTTTGACTCATTCAATGCCTAAAGAAAGTAGATAAAATTTTCCCTAAGTGCTATCTCATTTTAATATCCAGAACAATTCTCTGAGTGAAAAATAGTAGTAGTATTTCAATTTTACCTTTGTGGAAATTTAGTCTTCTTAGGATTAAGTTTCTTAATGTAAAAGGGACCAAGTTGACTGAAAGAAAGAACTGAGTGCTCTATGGTGCCAACGCCAAGAACACACTGAAAACTGAGTAGAGCACAGCGAACCATGAAGGGTTTCACTGAGAAACTTCCTTGGAGAAAACAGTCATCACCTTAGTGAGACTCAACTCTCCAGAAGGCAAAACGTTTGAACTTGTGGAGCTCTCGGTTTGGGGGATGGGAGAAGCAAAGGGTGAAAGAGAAAAGGAA